AGTACCCTCAGAGAACCATTTCCCAACAACTATTTTTAATGCCATACATCAGCCAAACATGTACCATGAATCATGTCCATGCATATGATTGGCTTCAATGCTAAATACACGCAGTCATATGCTCAACCAACAAAAATAATTTTGGTTTCTTCGGGTTTAGGACGGGTTCGGGGGATGGATCAGGAGATCTTACCCGATCTATCTAACCCGATATAAAAGTCAAATGTCAGACCTCATATTGGTTCGGGGTATATGGATTGGGTATGTTCGGTTTTTCTCGGTCAGATTTTTTGGGTACTTCGGATAGGGTCGGGTTTTGCAACAGCCTTATTCCCACAAACAATTTACCCACCAATTTTTGTGATGGCTCTCTGACGAAATCATCCGTTTAGCAACAGATTTCCCATAGAAAATTCCATAGCAAAAAGTATTCCATTTAGTGGTGTATTAGTTTGGGCTGCCATTGTTGGAAAAACGTTAGACTTGATTGCTAGCTCAACAGAAGACACTAACGGATAAATTCTCTGCATTTATGATGCAGTTCTAGGGTGGAAACCCTTTCCCTCTCTTGTTGGGATAGGATTAAGCAGGTTTAGATTATGGATTTGTATTTCTTTTAACAGGTTTATGTGTAGAAACAGGTTCTGTAAGTTGGTATGGTATTTTAAACAGGTTCAATTTTATAGGAAATATGATTTTTAAATTATTTAAAAAAAATCACCAACAGATTTTTGTCGGTGATGTTAAATCAGACCATCATTGATCCATTGGTGAAATTCGTCGATATTGGTGGTCGTCGGTGATCGTTCAGTAATGGTAGCAGTCAGTAATTTGTTGGTGTTAAGATCCGTAAGTGATCTCTAGTCATCGATGATTACTACTGTCATTGATATCCTCGGTGATGACATTGCCCACCATGTCCTGTCCAACATACTTTCTTCGACATATACGACTTTTAGCGATGGATAACCGAAAAAAAATTCTAAAAGTGTTTTGTTTTGTAGTGTCACACACCCACTATATATGCACCTGCTGTCACCACATCTAGTGAAATAGTCTTCGACAAAAGTCTCCACGACCGCCATTTCATGAAGCTAAACAACTTCCAATTAAACCTCCTTCCCCTTGAAAGATAGGTTTTATAGTTTCTTTAAAAGGACTTTGTCAGGTTTTATTGTTGTATCGTTACTTGTTGTTTTCATCAATATCAAGAAACATAAAGACTGTGATCATGATATACTATATCATATCACTTGATCTAAGCCCCATATAGCATCCTTTGATCCCCATATAGCCTCCTTTGATCCATGCCTCCATATCACATCCCTTGATCTATGCCTTAATATCTCCTGATTAGATTCTTATAGTTACTCTTATGACCATCTAGAATATTTTCTTTCATTTCTTTGTATGTATAAATACATGTTGTAATAGACAAGCTCTTTTCATCACTTTTCATATGGTAGTAGAGCTCTAATCGATCAATCTTCTAATCTTGTTCTTTCCAACATACAACCATTCTTAATCTTATCTCAACGATCTCTAATGATCAATCCTTCATCCCTAATACTAAGAAATCCAACAACCCTAGAGCCTATATTGTGAGTGCCTCATTTTCAACCTCTAGGTGGTTACTTGATAGTGGTGCTTCCCACCACATTACCAAAAATCTAGAGACGCTTTCCCTACATGCTCTTTATGATGGCAGTGATGAACTAGTCATTGGTGATGGTTGTGGACTTCCCATATAAAACATTGATATCACATCTCTTCTCATACCCTTTCACCCTTTTTGCTTAAATAATATTCTTCATGTTCCTTCCGTGTCTAGAAACATAAACACTAACTCATAATTTTTCTTAAATAATGTTTCCCTCACTTTCTTACCTAACTTGAAGGTCCAATCAAACCTGGAATATGTACATGGCATCCCATTCACCTAACCATGAACTTCACTTCTCTATCTACGACCTTAGACTGGCATCACAGATTAGGATACTCGTCCTTCTCTCTTCTAGAAAATTAGTACTATGTTTAACCTTTTTATTCCAAGTTCTCATTCGAATTGCAATGCATGTGATTGTAATAAAAGTCATAAACTTTCGTTCTTTCAATCTACTAATAGCTGTAATAGGCCATTGGTTGTTATTTATAATGATGTATTGACATATTCTATCTACTCCTTTTCATGGTCACAAATATTACATCAGCTTCATCGATAACTATTCTAAGTATGTATGGCTCTATCCCCTTAAACATAAATCCGAAATAAATGATGTTTTCTTTCATTTTAAAGCACTAGTTGAATAATATTTGAAACATAAGTATGTATGTATGGCTCTCTACGAATTGAAACAAGCCCTTCGGGCATGGTATGCGGAACTCAAATAGTATCTACTCACTCTTAATTTTGTCAATGCTTTCTCTAATTCTTCTCTTTTTCTTCTTCACCACAATAATCATTTCATCTATCTCTTTGTCTATGTCGATGATATCATTGTCACTAGTTACAATACAAACCTCATTGACACTTTTATAACTTAATTCTTTGCTTGATTCTCTCTTAAAGACCTTGGAAACCTCTCCTACTTTCTAGGTAATGAATTCATTTCTCACCCTCATGGTTTCTTCCCTAACCAAAAAAAATACATTCTTCATATTCTAAAAAAGTCTCATATGGGAGAAGCCAAACCAATACCAACCCCTATGATCACATCTCAGCCCCTCTATCTTTACTCTAGGTCACCTCTTGCCAACCTAACTAATTATCGGGCCCATGTTGGAAACCTTCAATATTTTACCACTAACTCATCCTGATGTTGCTTTTAATGTTAATAGGTTGTCATAATACAAGCATTGTCCCACTGATGAACATATGTTAGCTCTTAAACTTCTCCTACGATATCTAGCAGGCACAATCCATAAAGGAATCCTGATACACAACAATTCACCTTCACGACTTCATGCCTTTTTTTATGTTGATTGGGCAAGAGATAAGGATAATTACATTTTACTACCGGATATGTTGTTTACTTTGCCGCAATCCAATCTCATGGAGCTCCAAAAAGCAACAAACTATTGTCCCTCATCTACTGAAGCAAAGTATCACGCTATTGCATCAACCATAACTGAAGTTCTTTAGGTTCTTAATCTTCTTATAGAACTTGGCCACTGATCCATAATTCAACCATCCATTTATTGTGATAATACAGGTGCCATATTTGTCGCGACTAATACGAAATTTCATTCGAAAATGAAGCACGTAGGACTAAAAAAAAGACTACCACTTTGTTCTTGAAATGTTCAAAATGGGACTCTCCGGGTGTCCCACATTTCAAGTAACGATCAACATGTTGATGCTCTTACTAAACCAATTCCTTGCACTGCTTTTCAGACTTTTATCTCCAACATTGACCCTAATCTTCGACTGTCCATCTTGCGGTGGGTGATAAAGATAATGTTGGGACTTCCGCCTCATCGTTCCCTCGAGCCGGTCAAATCCGCGATTCTTAAACCCAACGCTCCTGTAGCAATGCAGGAGCATCCCACATCGGTGAGGCTAGAGGGATTCGTCTTTCTTATAAGGAAGGGGGGATCTTACTCCTACCAGTGACGCGTTTTAAATCCGTGAGGGGTTGTCGTCGGGAGGGGCAGCCCAAAGCGGACAATATCATGTGGGCGGTTCCCTGGTTTTCGGTCCAACAGATAAAGACTATGATCATGATACACCATATCACATCCCTTGATCTAAGCCTTAATATCTCTTGGTTTGATTCTTGTGATTACTTTTATGATCAATTAGAATATTCATTTTCATTTCTTTAAATGTATAATACATGTTGTAATGGACAAGTTAGTTTCTATAGGATGGTTATACATTTTCTTGTTCTAACTCAAGTGAGCAAGGGAGTTTGTTACTGTGCTAAGGGAGATGCTTTACTAGAGAATATGACATACATGTTTCACCGAAGAAGGGGTATGGGAGATAGAGTTGCAACCTTGCAGGTGTGGTAAATGGGAGGGGATCATAGTGAGGGAGAGAGAGTGTGTGTGTTTAAAAAAATTAAAAACAGTGAAAAAGGTAAATTGACCAAAATACCCATGATTTAATAGAATTTAACAGATTAACGTCCGTTGGTACGGACAAAAACCAAGAGATTTTGCTAACATTTAGGAACTACTTAGAATAAATGAAGTTGAGGGACAAAAACCATCACTACAACAAAATTGCGTTTATAAGACACTCACAATCTTTAAGCGTCCCAATAGACCGCTTTATAAGACTTAATTTATAGGACCAAAATATAAAGCATCATATCTAAAGGTGTTGTAATAAGTTTATATGACGCTATTGGACGTCTTAACAATATTTTTAGGACATTTTTAATACAAAATGTCGCATTAGCAACTTTATAGGACACTTTTGAGAAAGTGTCCTATAAACTCAATTTTTTATAGGACATTTATTTTTATAAGATAGTTTTTCAAATAGTGTCCTATAAACTTGTTAATGGGACGTTTTATATTAAAAGTGTCCTAAAAAACTTATTACAACATCAAAAAACGTCATATAAATTTATTACAATGCCTTTATATATGACGCTTTATTTTTTTGGTCCTATAAACTAAGTCTTATAAAAAGTTCTATTAGGACACTTAGAAATTGAAAGTGTTTTATAAACCCGATTTTGTTATATATAGTGTATTTTATACAAAATTCAAGAACCAAAACTAAAATTTACTCGCTAATTAAAGTTAATACGCCTGTACTCGTTTTTTATAAAGATTTTTTGGAATGTTTTTACATCGTATTTACCAACCAAAGACACAAGATATTGGATCATAGAGATTATAACAAAGAAAACATAAATTTCTCCGTCAAAGAGGAACATTTTTCTTGAAACATCCACCAAACAAAGTTCCCAAATCTATGTTCTTAAATTGCAATCTTGACAGCCATAACCATCATATTCCATCGTTCAACCATTGTTGCACCTTCAATGGGTTTACTTACCTCTCCATCTTCATCCACCTCTCCTTCGACCGAACCTTTTCCCGTATCATCGCCCATCTTAGTCCCACTGTCGTCGTCTGAAAACCCCGATCCTCGTTATGGTATCTACCTTGTGTTTTCTTACAAACAGCACGCAGACGACCTTACGATGTCATGTGTGATGGGGTGCTATGACCCTTTGATAAACGCATGGACTCATGAGTCTTCCATTCCAGGGACGTCCGTGAACCATATCTTCAAAGGATTTGCAATGGTTTCAGTTAAAACATCGATCTATATAGTTGGAGGTAGTGAATACCGCAAAGAAAAGATCGAAATAAACGGTACTTCAAGACTTAAAGACGTTGGCGTTGGAGTACGGTCGACGGTTTCACGTTATGATGTCATCACTAAAGAATGGTTCACATGTGCACCACTTATTACACCAAGGTACGATTTCGCATGTTCCGTTTGCGACGATAAGATCTACGTAGCAGGAGGTCAATCTACTCTCGATGGTGCAAAGGGTATATCATCCGCGGAAGTATACGATGTGGTTAACAATGAATGGAGATCTTTGCCATGCATGAGCACCGTCAGATACAAATGCGTAGGTGTGACGTGGCGAAATAAATTCCACGTCATCGGAGGGTTCACCTACAGTGGAAACAAGATGCAATTCACCGATCGTTGTTCAGCCGAAGTTTACGACGTTGAGAAAGGAAAGTGGGACCATCTCACCGGAATGTGGCAGTTAGATGTACCCCCTAATCAGATAGTGGTCGTCGACGAGAAGTTGATCAGCTCCGGCGACTGTCTTAACGTTTGGAAAGGCGATATCGAAACTTATGATGGAAACTTAAACTTATGGTATCCACTCGATGGGTCAAGAAAGGAGAATTTGCTGTCACTTTCTTGCTCGTCGAGTGGTAATGAAGGTGGAAGTTCTGAGCCACTTCAACGGATATGTTTGACCATGGCTCCGATCGGTGGTTATCTGTATTTCATAGCTGGTTATCGGGTGGCTGGTGATCAATCTTCGTGTTGCACTATGTCGATGGTTCATAGGTTCGACACGTCAGCAACCGACAACCAATGGGAGACATTTGAACTGATGCAAGTGGAAGGGGAGAGGGAGCTTTGTAGCCATTGTTGTGTGGTTCAGCTTTCCTAAAAAGCTGGCGCCATTGAATCTTTGTTTCTTTTGGCATACCTCATGATATTAGGGTTTATGTTATGTGGTATAAAAGAAAAGGAAGGTCACTTAGAAGGTGTAAGGCATGAAAAATAGAATATATAATGATATATATCCCTTTGTAATAAAATTCTATTTTTGTCATTTAAAAATATACCCTTGTTATAGAATAACCGAAAAGAAAAATCAATATAATAAGGAGAAGAATATCTATTTTTCATTAATCATAAGTTTTTTTTAGGGATGAGGTATAAGTAGATAACTAGGAGATATTTACTTCTGATCTAACTCTGATTTATCTATCTTTATCTCTATCATCATATCTTTTAGACGATAACACACTTATCCTACAACCCCCCTTTAATTTTAATATTTGAAATCATTTATGGTTGTGATGTTTTTGGAGGTCCTCTTATATGTAAAGATTTTAATCTAAAACGAGATAATAACGCTTTTGAAAAGATATATTTGTGTTAACAAAATCAGGTTTATATTACGTCTAAAATATTTAAGTAGTGACTTAGAGCATTTATATTGGTGGAATTTCTAAAAATCTCACTTGTTATATATATATTTTTTCTGCTGTATCTTTGTTAACTTAATAAAGTAAGAGTCTCAACAAACTTTACAATTGAAGTTGTTACGAAAACCTTACTTCTATTTATTAATTTATGAAATGTAATTTTATTTATAGATGAACACATAAATTTAATATATATTAAAAAATTATATAAAAACTCAAATATAATTTATTAATTTTCACTTTTCTATAT